AAGGAAGGAAGGAAGGAAGGAAGGAAGGAAGGAAGGAAGGAAGGAAGGAAGGAAGGAAGGAAGAAACTTAATGGCATGTCTATGGTGGCTACAGAAGGCCAACAGTTCAGCGACTGCAAGTTAAATATATTGGCAATGAACTTCCTTTTGATATTGTAGGCACCAGGCTGGGGATGTGGCTCACTGGTAGAGCACTTGCTTAGCACTCTAGAGTCCTGAGTTTGAACCAGAGCGTTGGGGGGAAAGGAATTAAGAGGCCAATTGTAGGTGATAACTTTGAGTTTTTAAGTTCATTCAGTATTGGACATTTGCAGATCTGTCTTGTTTACTGTCTCTTATTTTCCCATGGGAAATACGAATGAGCAGTATTTTCCAAAATAAACCTCTCGAGCTACTTAGAAACTAGCGCGTGCCACGCTTTATCACCATCCTGTTGAACGAGAAAGGCAGATGAAGTCAGAGTTGAACTCTTGGCCAGTGAGGAGAAAAGAGGAAGGAACAGAAAGGTTAAAGGGCAGGACACTCTAGCCCCAGAGCAGAGTGGATGGCTATCTGCTGCCCTAGAACACACCTCCCAGTCTTCCAAGGTCATCAGAGACATGGCCTCAGCACGTGGATCAGCAAGGTGACGAGGTAACTCAAGAATGAGCCACGCCAACTCAGACTTGGGTCACCACTGCTTTCTCTCAGAGCCCTCAGCCAGTCAACCAGACGTCCCGTGGATTCTATCACCACAGCCCCTTCTCCCTACCCTCCCCCTTCCACACCAACTCCCACTAGCTCACCCCTCACCTGTATGGCTGCTCTCAGCCTCACAAACAGCCCCGCTGCCTCCCTCTTGCTAGTCTGCAACTAGTTGACATAAGGCGCCATAAATGACAGCTATCACTTTCCTGCCCAGACTTCCCGCTGCAGGCCAACTCTTGCTTCAGAAGCTCCAGGTGATCTGGAGCCCTGCTGCATCTCCGTCCCTCCCATTATCTCTCTGTGATGGTTGAGGCGACTATCTTGACGTGCTCTGGGCACACCGACTTCATTCCCGTCTTGGAGAGTTTCCTGATTATGTCTTCTGGTTGGCAGGATCTTCCCCATGAATGCCTCCATCTGACTGAGTTTCAGGCTGGCATGGGCCTTCCCTGGAAAGCCGGCTGCTGAAACAGACCTCCGTGGCCAGTTCTCTGCACCCACCACCCTGTTCCTCTGAGAATGCCTTTCACTTCTGACAGGGTCTTTCTTTCTGGCTTTCTCTGCCAGAACAGAGATTCTTGACCACAGGGCTTGGTCTATATTGCTAGCTTCCAAATTCTGGGCAACTGGAATTATTCCTACATAAGCTAGGCTTTGTAGAGGACTGTTGAAAGAATTACTGAAGAATATCTGCCTGATGACGTTTTGGAGGGTCATGATGGGATCTGTTATAGCGTCCATCACACAAACACATAGACACAGGGTTAGGCTGTGTGCGTGTGAGAAAGAGAGCAAGCTAGGGAAAGACACAGATGTGAAATGTCTGCCATTAAAACGTTTACAAACTGAATACAACTGTCAGGTATGTGACTAAAGTTTAAAGGCCTTCATTTTGTTAATCCTCACAAGTGTCTCATTAGGACGCTTCATTTATTTAAAAGTATTTATTAGCCGGACGTTGGTGGCACACGCCTTTAATCCCAGCACTCGGGAGGCAGAGCCAGGCGGATCTCTGTGAGTTCGAGGCCAGCCTGGGCTACCAAGTGAGTCC